CAATTTGCATATCAAAAATGTTTACACTATCATGATGATGTAAATATTGTTCACTGAAGAGTTAGAATTTAGCTTAGAATTACCATTTTTGTCCTGTCTCAATGAGAAATAGCCAGCAATTTTAATGCATGCAGTCTATCATTTCATGTCCTAACTCCCATTCTCATCTTGGATAAGTTTTTCAAACTGTCAGTCAGACACTATTCTGTCAAATCTTCCTTTCCCCAACTTCCTGCCTGAATTTTTGCTACCTGAGGTGTCCATCAGCTAGCTCCACCTTTAGATATACTCACAGTAAGTGTGAGGGCTGTGTTTCTCAGTTTTTCTTCGAGTAACTCTTGAATTTTATGTTTTTTTTTAAATTTTCTTTCATTTTGCTCTAATGCATTATTATGGCGGCATGTAAATGCAAACACCTCTGAATTCTAGCATATATAAAAAAGTCTTTATCCTGCCCTGTGTGCTTGATAATTCAGTAGATCTGGGGTGTTAGATTAAAACCCATTTTCCTTAGAATTTTGAATGTCTCCTTCTATTCTTCTATAATCCATTATCGCTAATGATTATTGTGATACCAAGATGATTCCTTTGTCTCTGATGCTAACCTTTGGCTTGTTTTTCCATGTGTGATTATTTTCATTTTTCTCAAAAGCCCATAATCTTTTTCATATTTTATTATAAATGTTAAAAGATGAGTTGGTGTCATTTCTGTATGTGCTCACTCATCTGAGAACTCAGTGACCCTTCTCTCAGTAAACATATCTCCTTCTGCTGTTATGGGAACGATTTTCAAAGTTTAAATAATAATTTTATCCAATTGATTTCTTCTTTCCCTCTTAATATCTTCTATAATATAGATAGCAATGTTCTTAATCTGGTCTTCTATACCTTCTGTCCTCTTTCATGCTCTGCTCTAGTTTCTCTCATTTATATTGTACATTTTACAGTAATGTTTTGGCTTCTCTATTACATGTTTGGTTTTATCAAATATGTATGGATATGTTTGTGTGTGTGCACAATAGAAATATTATATGTACGTTATTAAATTTCCAAGATTTCTTTTCCACTGTAGTTTGCTGCATATAACATCATGCTCTAATTAATAACTTGACATAGTTAAAGAAATTTATATTGGATCCTGCCTTTTATTCCAATTTAATTTAAAATCATTTATTATGTCATTATGATTTATTATCTTTCTATTCATTATCTAATTACAAATACAGTGAGAGCAATCAGTACTAGCATTGTTCTAGTTCACTAACAGCTCTAATATTTAAGGCAGTCATTTAATTTCAATGTCCCAGTTTATATAACTATGAAAATATACAGATAATAATCCTTCACCTAATCTTTCCAACTTGATATTAAAATCAAATGTGAAATCTCACTAGAAACATTTCATGTTCTATAGAGGCGTTATTATATCAGGGAAAAGTATCCATGTAGTAGAATTATTGGAAAATATTAAATAAAGACATTGACTTCTGAAAAAGAACAGTAGGACATGTCCAATGGCTGCCAAACACATGCAGGGGTGAGGTCTGATGTCCGTGTTCCACTGGAAATATGTCTGCAACAAAGGGTTTGGGAGCCAGTGAAGTTGGAACGTCATCCTATGAATAATGTATTTCAATTGTATAAGCTAGATAATTCCTTTTTTGTATTTGACAAAATGCTTTAAAAATTGGTCTTGAGGGCCTTCCCGGTGGCACAGCGGTTGAGCGCTGGCTGCTCCCCGGCCACTGGAGGAGGGTCCCACATGGCGCTCAGACCTCTCCTGCCACCCGCTGCTCCCCTCAGCAGTGTGCTTCGGTCCTTCTGCCTGCTCTGCTCCCGCTCTGGCTCTGGTGAATTCGCTCACCCTCCCGCGCTTCTGACTGTACCCAGTGCTTGTATAAACAAACAAGCAAGCAAACAAACAAATAAATAAATAAAAATCTTTAAAAAAAATTGGTCTTGAAAAATCAGTTGTTACTGGAAGGAGAGGGGAGGAAGTGGTATATAAATTAGGTAATAAGGGTCAACTGTATGATGAAGGTGAGAACTGGAACTTTAGTAGTGAACTTAATGTAGTATATTTACATGTTGATTTATAGTGATGCACCCCTGAAATATATAATGTTATAAAAATATGTAATAATATAATATGGCAGTGTTACTTCAATACAAACCTTCAATTTGGCCTTGAAGATATGTGACTCCTTTAAACTCAAGAATCTATGTTTATACAGATTTTGTATTGCTATTTAAAAATGTGTTTGCTATTATTGATCTCTACAGTGAGTATCATCTTCATATCGCTACAATAATGATTTTCTGAAATGGAAATGTGTACTTTTTTAAAATTTATGTAACATTTGTTTACAACACTTGTGTAATTCAGAGGCATACAATCAAATTGTCTCATATGTGTGTCATCACACCACACCCACCATCAAGGCACCCATAGTCCTCCACTGTAGGCCATTTGGTCCCCGCCCCACTTTCTTCCAACTCCTCCGCCCCTCTGGTATTCTCAATTCTACAGTCAGATTTCTAGGTATGATTGTATTACAACATTATATGAATTAATTATTAATTATTGAGAATCAACATGTGTATATACTACAGTAAATTCACCCACTAGAAGTTCAAATCTATCCTTCACTCTTCCATTATCTACTTTCTCCCATTTTACCCACATTCCTTTTAAAATTCATTTCTGGAAAAATGATGAAAGAATTATATAAAATAAAATAATTTAAAAAATAAAATAAAGTTCATTTCTAAATGTCTAAAGTAATACATTAGCTCCATGCTTTAATTTTATGCCATAAATGCGTGTATTTGAAGTATCCCACCATCACCTCCTCACTGTCCAGTTACCATTGCAGAGGTGACCAATGTTTCTGTTTCTCAGGTTATTTCCACAGATGTTTTAATAATATATAAGCCATTGCATGTTTTTCCTACCTTTTTTTTACAAATGGAAATTTACTAAACTTACTTTTCCAATTGATCCTTACCTTTTTCAACAAAAATATGCTGATATGTAACTACAAAATATAGCTTTTGGTGTAGATAATCATATTAGGAGCATATTTATTTTACCTTTATCATTTAATCAATCAATCAATAAATAAATATGTATGTATCTTATCAGTTATGTATCTTATCAGTAAAGTGATTTTTCTCTGACTTTCCTTGTTCCTACTTGTTTTACTGGATGGAAGGATGGCAATGAGTTGTACACATTGCTCTGTCTAGGGCCAAGGATTTTCAAACCTACTATCATTTGTCTAGACCTTGGCATACAGCACACATTCTGGGAATCTCTTTGCTGTTTATCTAGAAATTCCTTGCATTTCTCTCTTAAACATTTTATTTCCTGTGTCTCAAACACCAAATTTCTTGCTTGTGTCTTTGGTGTGTCACATCTTCTAGTAGCTTCCTGGAGAAAGATAATGTGATTGGCTGATTTTTCAGCTCTCATATAGTTAAGCATCTCTTCAGCTTACTTGTCTACCTGACTATTATGGATATAGGATTTATACTTAAAAAATGTCTTTCTGTCTCCCAGTGTTGCTATTAAAAAATCTGAAGAATTTTTGATATTTTGGTTGCTTATTCTTTGTATATAATTTTTGCATACCTGACAATTTTGTTAACTTTTCCCCACTGCAGTTTTTAGGATCTTCCTTTTGGCCTCCAGTGTTCTGAAGTGTCACAATGATTTTCTGGTATAAATCATCCACATAAATTAGTACTAGAAGTTTCCTTTTAATTGGGAATTTTATTCCCTTTAGTGCTAGGGAATGTTCTTAAATTCTAATATATTATGCTCTATTTGTTATGTTATATCTAAAATATAATATAATTAATAGAGTATATGATATCATTGTATAAGTGTTTATCCTTAACGAAATAAACAGGAAGGGTACTAATAAAAATCCCTTGTCAGTTCAGGAAGTTCTATATTTTTCACATGCAGAGGAGTTAGGCCTACAGTTAGCAATATTCTCTAAACAGTTAGCAATATTCAATAAATCACTGCTTTTTATACTTTGCACAATATTTTAGCAACAAATGACTTGAGATACATATTTCAGCATTAGTCATACATACGTATGTAATATATTCGGCTACGTATGTAATATATTTCCTATATTATTGCTGAATAACAATATTGAGAAAAATGAATTTAAGGTCTAAATATCAAAGTATGCCAACACTTTATTTTTATATTAGAAATATATAATTTTCTCACATTTTACAATCTTTCCTAGTCTCAAATGCAGTAGCTTTTCATTATCTCTGTTTAACAAACATATAGGATTAAACTAAATAGAAATAGGACATATTGATAACTAATAATTCTTATACTTTTCATATACTAATGCAGATTTCACATCATGACATACTACAATGGATATGGCCAATGATAAAGTATTACTTACTATACATGTGTATAATGACATATAATATTGTATAAGTATTAATGTTTGTAAGCATTCATTTTGGATTTTCAATCCCTTCTTTCTCTAGATATCCTGTCTTACCATGGTAAAAATTTTGGCACATAAATATTTTGACTCAATTAATGTGATGTTAACAGTGGGAATTTTCAACCAAAGACATGCTTAAGAATTTTCATAACAGATTTATTATAATAGTCTAAACTGAGACACCACACATATATACACCAACAATGGAAGAATTTAAAAATAAAAACTGTGGAATATTTATTTAAAAAAAAGACTGCAATCAAGTATTATATTCCAAGAAGAATGAAAACAAAATTCTATTAATTCTTAATTCTTAATTAAATGAAATGTTATCATTATATTACATTTGTTATGTTTGGAACACATTTAGTTTTATAAGAGGGCACAATTAATAATTATATTAGTTTTTCTCTAATTATTATTGACTCTCAGTCATTGAAATAATTTGAGAAGTGTTGTGGACTTAATGCTAAGTTATGATTCAAGATTTGTGATATTTCCCTTTGTTTTTAGCATGTAGTGACCTGGAGTTCAGGGAAGTGGCAAACAGACTTCGGGACTGGTTCAAGGCCCTTCACGAAAGTGGAAGCCAAAACAAGAAGACAAAAGCTTTGCTGAGGCCTGAGAGAAGCAGTAAGAGTCCTAAATTGAATTTGTGCCATTGTCTTTGATAGGGAATTCCATCTACAATGCATTAGTTAGATCAAAACATGTATTTGACTTTATTATTTACTTAGATGCTAAATAAAAATCATAAGATTATTATTACATCCAAACACATTTATAATATTTTGCAAGTAAATTTAATATCTGTGTCAACTCTGATTGGTAGGAAAAGGAATCACCCCCACAGAAGACAGTTAGCTTCCAGTTGAATTGAAAAAGAGGGTATATTTTTCAGTGTTTTGATAGAAGTAGTAAAGAGTAGAACAACTTATTTCATAACAATGAGAAGTTGGGTGTACGTTTTAGATGTTTAGAGAGCACAGTTAATCTCTCTCCACCAATTAGCATTTTCATTATTGCTTTGCAGAAATTTCCAATTTGACCAACTATGACAGTACATTAAAGGGATGTTTTCAATAACACCCAGAAAATCAAATATATAAAACACAGAAGATAAAAAGAAGTGCCTTATGAGCCTTATATGATTCTTTTATCATCTGTAGAATCTCCCAGAAGTGTTTTTTTAACTTCTTAGAAATAGGAAATGCAAATTGAAATAGCACACTTGTTATGAATAATTTTATGAAATTTTCATTTTATATTATTTATTTATAAGAATATTCAATACATGGTTAATGCGTGTAAAATTATATTAAAACGTGAACTTCAATTTAGGGAACTTTCAAAGATTGGAGCATTTGCTTTATAATGCAAGAGGAGGGAGGGCAATAATTATGAGGAGCATCTCACAACAGAGAAAGAAAATCCCAAATGTGTGTCCTTTGCTTATTATGACATCACCACCCACTCTCACTTGTAATCCTCAAATACCAGTTTTTAACAGTATCACTTCAAAAGACGTAATAGCCAAGCATAATACAAAGGCCTAAATGCCTTCTTTCTTTTTTTCCTTTTTCCATCAGGGAATTTCCTAGAATTTCACCTTTTGTATTTATGAATCTTTTTTATTTATGTTCTTAAAGAATTTAATAATCACTTAAATTAAGCTATCTAGTTAAAGTTAATTGAAAGACTTAATAATTGTTCTTGAATTTATGATGGTTATGTGTATACCCTGCTTTATTTGAAGTTCAGAAATAAATTATATTTCCTAGGCTGCAGTTATGTTTCTCAGGTTTGTGTTCAGAATTATTGATTAAATTTTGGCATATGTTATCTTTTGGGGTTGCCTTGAGAATAAGATAAATTATCTGATAGAAACAATAAGTTTAATTGCATCTGTATGATGAAGAATACATATCTGGGGTGGGTGAAAATTTCTTCCAAGCTTTCACAGGATTTTTTTTTTAATTCACATCCGTATGATCTTGAATATTGTCAAAGATTCAAATTTCTCAGTTGAAATGAGTTCAAGTTAATAATTCTTAGTAGTTTCAGATACAAATGAAACTAGATTGTATAGAACACTCAGCACAGTGCCTGGTTAATTGTGCACATTTATAAATTTTATTTCCCTTTCTAGCTTTTTCTTGCAAGAAATGAGACATTTAATATAGTGGGTTAATTATAAGAAGTTCCTTGGGAGTTGAATATCTGTGGAGAATAAAGGAAAATGTGAATACTGGATTTTCTATACTGCTTGAAGGATTCAGAGACCAACAAGGAGTAAATTTCTAATAGAAACTTGTACATTAGAATTGATTTGAAAATATCCATATATAATGTCTCTCAACCACTCAGATTTGTACCTTTTGTCTGAGCTCTTCCCTAATTCTATCATATGTAATTTACAAAGCAATGCTTTACATCATACTCCTTATTTCCTTTCTATTATTGTTTCTCTTTTATAGCATTTATAATTCTCTATGATAATGATAATTTATTGGTTTCTTTTATTTATTGTCTTTTTTACTCTTTATCAGCTAGACTACTGTATATGCAATGTAGGTAGTATCATCGGAGTCCAAAATAGTTTAGGATATTATAATCAGTAAACTTTGTTATATTTTGTTTCATTATTTTTATCTCTAAAATATAAAGGACAGAGAAAAAATAAGGGTTTGTTTGTTTAATGGTTGCAATTGAAGATGCGTGTGTGCATTTTTGTGTCCTTTGAAAGCTGTATTGTATTAATTTTCTTTCGATCAGTTTGGAAAACATCAGGACATTGGAATCATATGCAAAATCTCAGATTGAAAGTCTCACTCAGATTAAGATATTGTCTTAGTTTTGCTTTCCAATACAGCAAATGCTCTCCTCAGTCAGAGAAAATTACAGAAAATGAATACATTTTAATTCCTAACCAAGACATTGCTCACTTTATGTCATGCTCTCTTCACATTGAGAGGAAGATTGATTTTGGAATCAGATGACTTTAAAACAATGTCCAATTTTAATGCAATTAGAAGCCTAAAGTCTAGCGGAGAACTTCATCTTAAAAAGAAAATATTTGTAAAGTTGGTAGAAAATTTTCTTATTTCAAGTATTAAAATGAAAGATTGAGATGGCTGCTTATTTTATTTGTTGTAATTATTGAGACACCTGGCATTTTCATCTTTTATTAGGTATATAAAATAACTCTGTGTAATAAAATTTAATTATGTACTGTAACATTAAGATATTATGTTAATATGCAAATATTATAATTCTGTAGAAATCATATTTCATATGTAAATAAATTAGTATATAGATTACAACTATAATTACAAAATAAGTATTGTAAGTGAAAGATATGTTATGATAAAATTGTTTTCTTATAGTAATGCATCCTGGAAAAATATCCAACTGGAATTTTAGGTACCAAATTTTTGGTGAGTCTCTGATCTTTAAGGAGTATATTATTCTGAATAGAATTACTGTTAGCATTGGAATTTTTTGACTCATTAACAAGTAGGTGGCTGCTCACAGAATAAGTGAAATATTCTCATGAGCATTTTGTATGTACCACTTAGCCATTTCTGTTCATTTTTTGATCGGGTTGTTCATTTTCTTTTTGTTGAGCTGTATGATGTATGGTGTAAAGATATTTTTTTCCCATTCAATAGGGTATCTTTTGTTTTAGTGACAGTGCCTTCAAAAAAACTCATATGGAACTACAAAGGAGCCCAAAAAGTTAAGGTAATTCTTATTAAAAAAAAAAAAAAAGGAAGAATAGCAGTATCATACACCCAGACTTCAAACTGTACTGCAAAGCTATACTAATAAAAACAGCATGGTACTAGAACAAAATCATACACACAAACCAGTGCAATAAAACTGAGTGCCAGAAATGAATACACACTGATATGGACAGTTAACTTATGACAAAGTAATCAAGAACATACATTGCAGGGCCTCCCCGGTGGCGCAGCGGTTGAGCGCTGGGTTGCGAAGCTGCCTGCAACCTCTGCAGCCGGTTCAATCCCCGGCTGCTCCCTGGCCACCGGAGGAGGGTCCCACATGGCGCGCAGACCTCTCCTGCCGCCCGCTGCTCCCCTCAGCAGTGTCCTTCGGTCCTTCTGCCTGCTCTGCTCCCCGCTCTGGCTCTGGTGAATTCTCTCACCCTCCCGCACTTCTGACTGTACCCAGTGCATGTATAAACCAAACAAACAAACAAATAATAAATAAATAAATAAGACATGCCTCTAGAAAATTAAAAAAAAAAAAAAGAACATACATTGCAAAAATAAAAGTCTATTCAATAAATTGTGTTTGGAAAACTGGACAATCACATGCAAAAGAATGAAACTAGACCACTGGCTCACACCACACACTAAAATTAACTAGAATGGATAAAAGACCTGGATGTAAGACCAGAAACCACAAAATACATAGAAGAAAACTTAGACAAAATACTCCATGACTTATGCTTCAGTCTTTGTGGATTTGTCTCCAATAGTAAGAGAAGATAAAGGAAAATATAAACAATAAACAATTGGCACTACATCAAACTAAAAACAAACCATATATATATATATGATATATTATATATGATATATATTATATATATCCTCTATATATATGATAAAGAACTTGGATCCAGAAAATCAGAAAATATAAATAACATACTCATATGTCAATACCCAATTAAAAAACAGATGGGCAAAAAATCTGATACTTCACAAATGAAGATAGATGACGATGATGTAAGTCAAGACATGTAAAGAAATGAACTAAACATCAGTCTTCGTTAGGGAAATATGAAATGAAATCACCTATTAGAATGACAATCAATCATAAGTAACAATACCAACTGCTCGTAAGGATGGGGGAGTAACTGGATCTCTCATGCTTAGCTAGTGGAATGCAAAGTGGCACAGTCACTTTAAAAAATGTTTGACTGTTTTTAATTTTTTTTTTTATGAAACAAATACCATAGGACCCAGCAATTCCATTTTAAGTTGTGTATCCTAGAGAAATTACAACATATGTTGACATAAAAACATATATGTGGATGTTTACAGTGACTTTATTTATAGTGACAACACTGTCAACAACTCAAGTGTCCTTTATCTGGTGACTAGAAGAAGAAAGGGCAGAATGGCTATAGAAAGAGCCTTCACACTGGTGCAGGGTTAAATTAGTCATAGAGTAAAAGTCTGCTCTGCTTGCCATAGCAAAACTTAAAAACCATTCTTAGAAGAGTTAAGCTGATCCCCAGGTTATTTAACTACATGTCAGTACAAAATATAGTGCTGTGGAAGAATGCCACACAGCCTAGCAACCAATAATTTAACATTCACAATATTCTGCATCTAATTAAAATTTACCAAGCATTCTAAGTGTAAAAATACGGTCCATAAGTTGGAGAAATTGCAATCCTGAAAATATACCCAGAATTAACAGTGATGATGGGGGTTGGTGTACAAGGACTGTAAATATTACTAATATGCAAAGTAGTATAGCAGTAAATATGGACATCCATTACTCGAGAATGGCTAAAGGAATAAAACATCCAAATAGGATGCCTAGTGATTAAGTTTACAATAAATGGAATGAAAAATGGATTGGGTGAACTTAAACCACAT